ACTAGGGCATACATATAGATACCTACTGTTCTTACAGTAAGAAGCTATACCCAAAGCCTAGATATAAGTAAGAAACTTTGCCACCCTCAAAGTATACACGTTTCTGTCCCTAAACTATTTGTATAAATACCGTTTGTGCAGTTAGAAACGTTTCTATCCTCAGAGCATAGATCTAAAATCTGTTCTTACAGTAAAAAAAACGCTATACTCTACTAAGCAAAAGTATAAACACTGTTCTTAAAGTAAGACCCCCCCCCCCCCCAAGCATTGATATAAATACGTATATTACAGCATGAAACTTTATACATTTATAGAAATAAAATTTTCTGTCACTCAAGCTTTAATATAAGTACGATACTCAAACGCAGATTACAAGCAACACAAGAGCTGGTGTTTTCTGTCTTTTGTTTATTACTAATTATTAAAGTCTATTAGCGGATAAAGGATTTCCGTGTCTTTATTCCTCATTTAATGACTAAATTAATGATTATCAAGAAATATGACCTAAATTAGTTTCTCGGATTCAACTTTTTTATCTAGAGACAATGGCCACTTCATTTTCCATTCTTGCTAGTTAAGTGTTACAAAATGTATTCTGAAGGGTTTAATGTATTTCTAATTATAATTGATTTATTGATCTGGGAAAAGCGAAGTTCGTTTAATTACTGATGAGGATTCTTGATAGACAACCATTTTGTTAGATTTCCACAGATTACAATATAGAGGAAATGTTTATGTGATGTTTTTGTCGAAATCCAAAATGCTGCAAAAATCAATCTGATTAAAATACAGATTTATATTTCGTTTCGTTTTTTTTATACTTTCGATGGCCTACACTACATGAAGATCTGACCGGTTGTAGCGATAGGTCGCGTCAGAGGTCATACGAGCAGCTTTTGACGTTATGACGTCAAACATTTGATTAACCAATCAGCATTGATGTTACTAGTGGATTACCCACAGTTCCGTGCGAAACACGCCTAAAGCTCGCCGTAACAGACCGTTTCATTGGCTAATCTCTCACACCATTCAGAACACGTCAATGAAAACAACTCTTCCAGATCCTGTAGTAAAGACAAGTAAGACGAAATTTTGAACTATAAAAACGAAACGAAATAGGATCTGTGTTTTAATCGGATTGTGCAAAAATAATCAGAACGCTTGAAGGGCAAAGCAACATTACAGTGTTAAAATAACCCGAATGATGATTGGCACTTTTTTCAAACAATGGGCCGGGTCAGGAAGATAGCGAATTTCCCTAACCATAAATATAGCCAAATCAATTTGGGCTCCGTGCGATAAATTATTAAGGCCGAAACTATTGCCATCGAGACACCGAAACTATTGCTGTCGAGGCCGTAACAATTGCCATCTAGGCCGTAACTATTGCCTTTAATAGTATTAGTAAATATAATGTCACACATAGCTTCCTCCCAAAAGATAAAGCCGAGAAAGGGCCTTCTGATTTGCAGGCGCTATGTTTTTCGTATTAAATCGGTTTGTTTGTAACCGTTCATATTTATACTCAAACAGTAAAATATAAAAATATATGACAGGTGAAGTGCGCAAAGAAGGGCGTACTTACACCTTTCGAGCACATGGTGACCTTGAACTGACATTGAACTGTCATCTTGGCCATCCCCTCGGTCTGCTATCGTCAGCTATTCTTAGTAATAATCGGGCAATATTTATCGCTTTTGATTCTCTTCAGTGTATAGGAATATGAGGGGACACGGGAAGAGTCTTATGGTGCGACCTTATCTATGATTTCGAAAAATAGGAAGAACATTTTGACAGAAAATTAATAATTTTAAAGATCACACAGTAACACAATTAGGGCGTTCCTTTACCTTTTAATTTATATATATCTGCGAGTCTCTTGAAATAAATCAGAAGAATCGATTTAAATGCAGACACATTTATGTCTGCACATAAAGTAAACTATTTTTTTTATGGCACAATCAATTTAAGATTGATTATGTAATGCGTTGATCAACAATTGTCGTGTTTTTATAGATATTACATTAATGGGGAGAATTACACCCCGATAGGTCAGAACATTTTATAAAATAAAGATACGAGACCTTTACTAATAATACTCGTGATAAGCAGCTATTCAAAAGTCTGAAGTTCCAAAATCCCCCACGTTGCCATTGTTAAAGATCGTGTAGGATTCATGACGAAGCTAGTTTCGTGTCGAGTCAAACTCCCTCGCATTGCCATTATAAGATATAGCTTCTGAAATTGTCACACGATAGAAATTTGACCTTTTAGCGCAGTACAGTAAGTCTGTGACATCTACATAGAGTTTCTATGATACCGTCTACTACAGTTGACATGGCATCATCTACAGAAGTCTGTTAATATGGCGAGGGGATTGTTACATAGAGTATATCGCATGGACAATGTTGCATTGTGATTTTAGACTTGTGTCAGGGTTGACTAGGTACCCGGTTTGGAACGGTACCTTATTTTTTTAGCTTCAGAAGAAAAACCTCTCAAAGTAAACACGTACAGACATACACAATAAATAAAGACATTGGTAAAAAAAATGAAGCATTATGATGTGATAGGTACCATATCACAACGAAAAAAATAAATAATTAGACAGTTACGAGTCCCATGTGCAAGAAACCGAGAAAAACCAGGTGTCGGGCTTAACCACGACATTGAATTCGCTAGATTATATTGATCATTCTTTCGAGGGGTAACTTTTTCAATGGAAGTATTATTAGAGAAACTTGGAATATACATCCACGATATAAATATTAAAAAACAGGTTTGGGTTTCTGAGCATGAGAACAATTCGATTTTCTGAGCAGGAGAACAATTCAAATTTATAAACCGGCTTGTGGGGAGTAGACGAGTATTTTATTCTATCAACATGTAGAACATTTCCTAATCAAGTTTGAACGCGATTATTTTAGAGTGTTGTTCTGAAAGAGGCAGTAATTACCAATATTGAGTCAACGTATATTAGTTTCTAATGATCGGATCTATTTGTTTTACGCAATCTCTTACCGCCGTTGTGTGGATTTTATCATCGCTAGCGGTAAAAATCCATCAATTCTTTTAACATTGTACTTTTCGATCAATAAACACTATTACTCTTGGTACCGGCATTTCTCAATAGAAACCACCCACACACGACACGGTTTGTATAGGAATGGTGCGAAATCTATACTAAAACCCGGCTAAGAGAACATGTCAGCATTTTCTTAAGTCATTATTTATCGCCTGCTCAAGTCGTCTAGTGATCGAAATGTGCATTTGGATTACAATCCTGGTTTACGAGAATACCTGCTAACCGGCAAACTGGAAATAATGCTCATCAATAAAGTAGTGCAGCTCGCAGTTTCTACGTCGATTATCGGCAAGGCTAATTATATCAAATTGCTGGACCAAATCAGGCCTGAAGCAAAGGGAGTCTTACAGTCTATAAAACATCATAGAAATTTGTTCATATCGAAAGGGGAGGGATGAACTTCTCGTGGTTCATTGATGAATAAAACACATTAAGTTGGTGATTCCATCCAAGGCTATTATTAGGTAGTCAAGATACTTATAGAGCGAACCTTCAAATTACTCGTAGATTGACTATGATACGGCGACCTTCAGAAGGTCTTCCGCCAAGGTTACGAAGAGCGTAAATCTTGCCGCTTATCTTTCCATTGACATTTTCGAAAATATAGTTTACCCCAGAACATGTAATCTCCGATGATGTATTGTCGTATTAGGAAACATTTGGACATACTATGAAGTCACGTTCACTTGTTAAAAATATTGGTCTGTTATTATTTCAAACTGGGCCCCTCATTCACAGTCAAGTGCAAGATTGTTTTGGTGACGTGCAATCACAACCTTCTCAGTGGAAGGTCAGGGGAGTATAGTGTGTATATGATATTTCAATTCTAATTAATCGTGCGGTCCTGATTGAGAAGGTGTTTTAGCCACCCCACCCCCTTTGGCCTTGTGTGTAATAACGCGATCATGTGAACCAAAGGTTCCATTATTGTATTTTACGTTGGATGCGGGTTGGTTAGGGCTGTGATTCAGATGGTGAACTAGATTTTAGTTTATATTGAAATGCAATATAAGTTTCTTCCAGCACCATTCACACACCCTTGTCAACGGGTAAGATAATGCGAGGAAAAGACTGATGGACAAAAATAAGGTTCCGTTGAAAACCTTGCTGTGCACGCTGAAAACCCTGCGTGAAATTGGTGGGAGGTGACGTCACTGCCCTGTAAAAGCTCTTGATTCGAGCTTCGTCATGAGTGAATGAACTGAAACGACATAACTTCAGTTAGAAGTTTTAGCCAAACAATGCTTGAGACTAATTTGTTAAATTGTACGCAGGCGGTAATTTATTTTGTGAATTTTCCTGATCGGGTTCCATTTTCAGTCAGTTACATTACACGGGACAAAAACGAAGTCGTGTTCAAAGAAACTATGGTAGCCTGCTGACGCCGCTGTTCTGGAAAAATATCTCTGCTGTGTAAATTATGGGAGTAACTTCTGATACACATTACGATATTAGTATAATTTAAAAATTGATTATTAAGTATCGGAATACTCGAACTAATCCTGCCAACTGTCTCCCCCATAAACAAATTTGACTTGCATTCCAAATTTCAATTTGATAGGGGAAGTAGTTATTATTTTGCCTGCAGCATCAATTTGCAGAACGATGACACACAATGACAAATCTCACCCATACCATCGTGGTTTTGTAGAACAGGAGAATGGTCAGATATTTAAAAGGTTTCTTAGTAAATTATAGTTTCCCATAAAATAAATAAATCTAGAAGCGATAATATAAAATTGACTCGTATATACAACCAAGCCAGTGTGTCATCGAATTGTTAGAAGCCTTATATAATCATACAAGTAGTTGAGACATAGCCATTTTATGTGGAGCTTTGGAATGTCGATGTGACATTTTTCAGCCGATTACGTCATCCTTCATGGGCGAATATATATGGAACAAGTAGATCATACGATGTTAGTAATAAATTAGACTGAGTCTCGTCTAAACAGGTTATATACCTTTGGAAAAAACACACAACAGTTATTGATAACTGCCGAAAAAAGTAAGACTGGGGTTTTAAGGTCTACAGAATTTATTATGTTTTTTTCTTTGTGGTTTTAATTATATTTGGCTACAAAATTGTACGGTATAGATAATATGCTAGATCCATGCCATTTTTGAAACAGGTTGTATGGTTCGATATTTTAGTCTCCACACATGCAACCTTTGGTCTATTTGATTGACGAATCCATTTTCAACAATGACCGTCGCACAACAATCCTGGCAATATGCGATTTGTTTGTGTTTTTTTTATGTTTTTCTTTTAGTTATTTTAAATCGTATCCAACAAGCTGATTTGCATATCTTTGCCTACACACAGCGTGCATTATGTCTCTCTGTGGACATCGCTTCTGTTGCCATTTATGATATATGAACAGTTCTTATTTTATAAAGAAAACAAAATAGAAAAAAGTTTTGAAAATATAAAATTAATTTATAACATAACAAAAAGAAAAAAAAAAGACAAAAAAGTATGTTTTCTTCATTTTTATTATTTTCTGTTTTCATTTTTTATCCATTTTTTAAATTTTTATATTGGTTAATATTCATGTTCACGGCACGCAAATGGAATATGAAATTGGAATCAATTAATATCATAGAGTAAATCAATGGTGATCTATTGTCACAGATTTTTCGCCTGATGTCGGATGTTATAAATAGAACTTAATGAGAGTATTTAACCATCCATATAAAGAATTATAGTAAAACCTGACCCAGAAAATACCGTAACGTGCTTTAACAAAGAATATCAATTATTATAGATTTTCTCGCAGGTGCTCGTGCGAGAAGAACAACATAGTAGCGCCCCTTGTATAACTCTTCAGTCATAAAGAGAGAAATAGTACATAATTTAACCCCTGACCCATGTGTTGATATCGATTGAATGGAAGCTTGTAGAATTGATTCATGTTGAAACTTTGCCTTTCAATGATGGTTTCTCTCTTTAATTTATTGTAGGGGGAAGAAGAGTCGATGGAACAAAGTCCTGACAGGCATAAAAATACACGAGAAGAAAAAACACGTTCAGACAAAGTTGCATCTTCCTCCACACACATTGCAGACGATTCTAAATTGAAGAGGCCACATGCAGTTAGGAGTATTTCTTCGTCAGTGACAGTTGCACAGGCAACTAAAGGAAAATATATTCCAGGTAGCCGCGGTGCTAAATCAAGGCCTTCCAATGGAGCTCCTGAAATGGGAATAAAAAGTATGGAAGTATTAGATGATTCATACGTTGTTCAGACTGTTGAAATAATTAAAAGACCCGGTCAAACTCTCGGATTTTATATACGCGAGGGAAATGGGTTTGATCGACAGGATGGAGTATTTATATCACGTATTCAGATGGGAACAGTAGCAGAAAGTAATGGATTACTTCATGTGGGTGATGAAATTGTGACAGTTAATACTGTGGCTGTTACACACATGTCCTTAGATGATGTTGTCATATTAATGTCAATTCCTAAAAAATTAGTTTTAACTATAAGAACTCGAAGAAATTGCAATAATAAAAATAAATCATGTCCATCCCTGGCCTTATCGGAAAGAGAGGACCCACCTGTGGTTGTGTTAAAGAAAGGACGCTCCAGTTCTGCATCTGCTTTAGAAATGACTGAAAAATGCCCTGATGCCTTTGATCATTATGCTCATCCAGTCCCCCATCAGTTTCATCAAAGTGAACATGTATCTAAAAAAGATGCTTGCCAAGAAAAGCCTACCTCTTCTCGCTATGCCAGTATTTATATTTCACCCCAAAGAGCAGAAGCAAGGCTTGTACCGGATGAATCGGGTATGGATAGTGGGGGTTCGAGTGATGGATCGTTGCCTCGGAGTCTCGATTTGCCCGTTAATAGACATGGACAAAAACCTACTCCAGCATTGGAAGCATCAATAGATAGTCCTGGTTCTTACATCAGCCCATCATCCACTATTTTGGGACAATACAGTTTTACAGGTGATCGTGAATATTACAAATATTTATTACCAGAGACTACAGCACGAAAACCTCCGTTAAAATCTCCTTCGAGGGGACCCATCGTGTCTCATTCTCAACCACGAATGGTGCAGCAGGAAGATCCTCATGCTATTTATGTTAATGTAGATGCTATATACGGAATGACAAATCCACATCATAAAGACTATGTGTCATATAGGGGTTATCACGAAGAAAAGAAACCCCCAGAACGAATTCGTGATATGATTCATTCCAAAACTAGGTATGGACGTTTATTAAGGAGTCGTTCGCCAGAGTGTTATAATTCAGATTCGGAAGTCATTTACTCTCATCCTCGACAAGTTGATCCGCGTGGGTTTGCCTCAGACTATGAAGCTTATACTGGAGCAATAAGTGATGACGATGGTCCTGTGTATTCTGTCCCACATATATCAGCCAGTAGCAGCTCGGAGCTGCACCATTTATTAAAAAAATTTACTACTCTATCTCAGGAACTACAACAAGAGCAAAGTAAACTTCAACGACAACTTTCAGCAAGAGATAAGACCAGTAAGTATTCTCTATTCTTCTATTGCAATTTACCAAAATGCCTGGTACCTAATTATTTACACCTCTCACCATGCTCCAATGCACATTAAAATAGTAAACTTCCACAACAATTTCCTGCATTCATTCATTAATCAATATTTAATCATATATATATATAAAGGCCTTGGAATGTTCATTGTTTGCTCAGAATACGAAATTAATTATTAATGTTGACATGTACATCTACATGTAGGCGTGTATACATTTTTATGTACATGTATGTCTGTATGTAACCTAGTACTAGTAGAAAGCTCTGAGCACCCAAACTTAAACCACTATACCTACATGTACACGTACTACCGTCTACCATACTCTGAGCACCACAACTTAAACCACCAGATACTACTACTCTGAGCACAATTTGAATGTGTCCTTCTACTCCTAAATTCTATTTCATTCATTTTCTCGAAATTATATCTGTGTGTTTAAACCAATTCAAAAAGATTTATATACATGTACATGTATCATTATAAAAAAGACACACATGTTACATGTATGTATATAATTACATGTAGCATTGTTATAAAGAGATAATTAAACATTGAATGATTTAGGCCTACATGTACATGTATTACAACACCAACCATTTGGGTGTATCCATTAGTTTTAAAATATTGGATGTTGAAAACCAAAAGTCGTTACTTTTCTTTAGCTAAACTGTATAATTTGGGAGTTTAAGGGCAATTGAGAATGAATTGCTGCATGCGAATATTTTAAATTGAACCTATACATGTACATGTATGTAGGGCTATCATATTGTTCTAAATTTTATTGTGACTCTAAAAATAGCAAATTTATGTCAATTTATGAAGATAACATTTCTTAAAGTGGTTTAAAGATACAATTTAATGGCCCAAAAAGAAATGAATCATGTCAAAGGACTTGTATGATCTAGTAACTACATGTAGAAGCAATTTCTGCACCCTTCCTTCTTTTTCCATGATGTTACATGCTATTTGTACAATTAATACCTCAAGCAATTGTCAAGGTACATATATATTGTTTATCATTGGTCACCTAAACCAGATACCTTTGCTATCTACATGTACTCTCCAATGATAGGGTACATGTATACGTACACAGCCTATAATACAGTTGGAGTATTAGACTGTATACAAAGCAACTCATGGTTTGACTTCTATATTCTTCATACTGCAAATCTCACCTTTACAGGAACATATGATATAAATAACATACAGTACGGTATGTAGTACGATACCGGTAAACTAAAGCTAAAGGTTCATAAAGAGTATCAGTAGACATTTGACGGACATCTCTCCTGTTATGGGCCTGGACCTTATACTACCTATCCTAGGTCTCACTAATTATATAATGATACTCTCTAACTGACAAATATACAATTCTCAGGTGTATACTTTATGTAGTAACACTGACTTTATAATTCTTAATTGGGTGGCTGAATGGTTAGCATGTGCACGCTGTATCATAAGGTCTGTCATTGAGTCAACTGGCGGGGTTTCAATTCCCTGGTTGTACGTGACAAGGAGTAGGGTTGTCTGTCCAACCTCGTGGGTTTTCTCAGAGTTCTCCGGTTTTCTCCCACTGCTAAAAAACCCTACGCACAAGTGAATTATTGAAATGAAATTGAACCATGTGTTTGTCTCAAAATTACCTAGTTTGTGTCCAGTGGAGGTTAACCTCCTCTCTCTCTCTCTCTCTCTCTCTCTCTCTCTCTGCCTCAATACAGTAATATCTAATGGATAAAATGTACAATAGATTATAAGACAAATACATTGTAATAAATAATAGTTACAGAGTTGATATTGATTAAGCTTCATGGTTCACTCTAAATCTATAATGGTTTGTCATTGGAGTTAGTATTCAGTTCTTTGTTTCAGATAAGGTAGGGTAAATAAAAAATACTAGTCCTGATATTTCTTGTGTATTACCATATATTATTAGAAGGGGATGACCTTTATTGAGTGTACATGTAGTTGCATATTGATTTTGTTGTGCAGAGTTATGGCCCTTGATCCCCAAACCTTGTGAATGCTCAAAGGCTCTTGAATACTGATGAATGCATTTCAGATCTGATGTTACAATATACATATAATAGTAAATGCAGTCAGTTAATTATGGTGACCCCAACCAATTTTGCTTTCAGTGTGGCATTTGAGGGTTCAGAGTTTTTAAGAATTGTCACACAGCTTTCTTTCCTGAAACAGAGATCTGAGAAAGTTCATCATGATTTTCCAGCATGAACCCCCTTGTCAGTGGTTTTTGACGGAGATCTGATGGGACAAAAAAAACAAAACAATGTCTTGTGTTCACATTGAGCGTAAAAGAACCCTTGACAGTTGGAATTTGAAATAAGATTAGGCCATAGCGCCGGTGTCCAGGCAAAATTTCCCTCATAGCACACTGCATGGCGTATGCCCATCTTCATGGGCCCAGTTGGTGCAGAACAGTAGGACGTTAAACCTCATTTCATTCCATTTCCTTTCCAAATATGCATCCCGAATTATTGTGTCCAAAACATCACATCAGTTTAGAAATGTTGATAATAAGGTGACCACTGACCAAAGGCTATATTTGGTTAGTACCAGCTAGAGAATTTACCCATCATTTATACTTCATGCTATAAATTAAAATTCATATTTAAAGATTAAATACTGTATAGTTGTTCTGGGTAAAAACATTTTAAAATGGATTAATGAATTGCTAAAATGCTGAGAATTATCATATTCTTTGAAAATTTAACCACATGGCAAAATGTTGAGTACGTGTACAACTTTGCATGACTCAAATATTTTAATTCAAGTTTATTCAAGTAGATGTACTTGTACATCTGTCAATGTAAAAATAAAAATAAAAAAATTAGATATTGAATATTTTAATTCTAATGTATGTAAATTACCTACCTGTATTTGCAAACAGTTGTTGAGCGTTAAAATTGTCCTTAATTTGTTATGAGTAATATACAGTAATGTAGAAATAAATACATACACACTTTTTTTTCTTGAAAAGATATTAATTTAAATCTGGAATTTCTGTAAGAATTATTTGATAGTGAGTTCCTAGTTGTTTAGATAGAGTGAAAAAGTTAGGTCCACTAGTAGAAGTGTTATATTGTCATTTGTATAAAAGAATCCTAGGCAGTTGGAATTCAAAGAATGCTGTTGTCCTGGCAAGATTATCTCTCTCACAAATTGCACATGAACCCACAGAAAAGATAGTAGACTTTAAATGTACATGTAAAACCCTTTCCATTCCATCAGGGATGTTGTTTGAAAATTTTGTACGTGGGACATATTTAGTTGGGGTTAACAGAAACCAGAATTAGATCACCAGAAGTCCTTGTCAGTTTCAGGAAATATTTTCTTAATAGGTAATTTTTAACGTTTACATTTATAACATTTGAGTTCTAAAGATAAGCTTTGGCTATATAATATTTACAATACGTAAAGATAAATGTGTGAACTTTGTTGGTTTATTGAATGACTGAAGTAGAATCGTAAGTCTCTTGAGAGAGAAAAGGAGATTAATAGACTTACAGTCTCATCCGGAATTTGTGCAGCAAGGTGCTACATGTGCATTGCTGTTAGCAGATAGGATTTGGTCATTTTCTTGACAGTCTAGCAATTTCAACGCGCCTTGCTTCAACTTATAAATCAATACGTCTGCTAGTCAAGCCAATATATTTCACAGCACGTACAAAGAGACGTAGATTCGCTTGTGACGAAGTAAAGCTATTCAATTATGATGGGTTTTAGTAGTCGTCAGTCATGTACAGCAATTGTTTCAAGTAATCATATCCAGAATTCTTAAGCCATTTTGCTTGATTTGATTTCGAATCTAGGCTCATTTCTTGAATTGTGATTTAATAGTATATTAACCGGTCAATGCATCAGATTTGCAGGCTATTTCCTCTAGAGACGTTCTAAATTAGAAACAGGTATCAGGTTGGCGTTTGCTATTGATGTATGGAGAAATGTTTTGGAATTCATTCTCATGGTCTCTTTGTATAGATTTCTGTCTCTAGTACATGTATGAAGTTAATATGAAATGAAATGAAATGGGATTTAATATTCCTATGTTCTGCTCCGATTGGGCTATCGTAATGATGACAGACATGCAGTGTGCTACATGTATAAGGGAAATTTTGTCCGGACAGTAGAGCTAGGGCCTACATGTACTCTTACATGTATATCGATTCCCAACTGTCAAAGGATCTTGTACATTCACGCTAGTATGTGTCCAGGACTTTGGTGATTTCCCATATCCCTGAAGCAATGGCCGAGAAATCCCTCTCTGGCCATTGCTGGATTGACTTCTGATACATGAGCTTTTGAGGGAGTGTGTCTATTTTGTCCGGACAGCTGAGCTACGGCCTACTCTTACATGTATATCGAATCCCAACTGTCAAAGGATCTTGTACGTTCACGCTAGTATGTGTCCAGGACTTTGGTGTTTTCCCATATCCCTGAAGCAATGGCCGAGAAATCCCTCTCAGGCCATTGCTGGATTGACTTCTGATACATGAGCTTTTGAGGGAGTGTGTCTATTTTTCTCGTTCAATCAAATCTATCCCAAGTACAGCAACATGACAGCCCTTCGTTTAATCTGGGGTCTTGCTTAAAACTTTGGACAGTGATTTAAGGTATTAAAACTGGCGAAATTATTGTTCGTCTCCAAGCAGTATTGTTTACATAGTAGCTGTTTTGATAGTCTTGTTTGTCACATAATTAGTTTTTCTGCAATATTCTGCTATGCACTGGTTAATTTGGCATAATAAATTTCGCGAATCATGACGTAATGTTATGTAAACATACCTGTTTAATTAGGTGTTGGTTGTTAATCAGACAATTGACCAGTCATAATTTGGAACAGAAATTTGCTTTCATTACTGCAGTGTTTGAGTGGGATTAGGTCTAATCAAACGAAACACTTCGTTGAGTATGGGTTTTTCCATGGTATTGTAGAGTAGGGTGAATTTCGAC